AGCTGGCCTTGACACTGGAAAAGATAAAATCCACTGGGCCATCCATTATGCCAATCACAACAAGGTGGAATTTTGGTCCACCTTAGATGCTGCAACTGACAGCTTCAATGACTGGGACGCATTTTCTAAAGAACTCCTGAACTACTACCCAGGTGCCTCAGTGAAAGATCATTGCTATACCAAAGCTGACCTCAAAACCTTACTCTACCATCAAGTTCAGAAACCTATGGGATCGCTGGAAGATCTCAGTAAATATGTCCAGGAATTTCGACACATCCTTGGCCTCATCCAGAAGAAGAAGAAACTTCCTGATGACTACATCAATGAGAAATTCCTCAAGGGGTTTCCTTGGAGGTTCCAGAATTCCTTGCTTATGTGATTGCAACTTTCTGACCTAGATCATGACATCAATGAGCCTTGGGAGTTTGATCTGGTCTACAAGCACACTAACTACCTGCTCAGCAGAGCAAAACGAAATCTCCCTCAGCCTGATTCTTTGGCTTTGTTTCCCCAGAACTCCACACCCCCTTCTTTGTTGACTGTTCCCACTATCTTAAAACATGAGTATGTACAAGTCACCCAGCAACCTGCTTCTGCCCTGCCTCCACAACAAGGTCAAGAAGGCCAATTCTGTCATTCCTTTGATCCATGGTGTTTCTTCTGTGGAAGCACTGATGGTCACCACACAGCAGAGTGTGCACTGTGTCATGAATACATACAAGCTGGGAAATGCACCCTGATAGGGGGAAGAGTATTTATGCCTGATGGTTCTGACATTCCTAGGACAGCTGCTGGCCAAAACTTTAAAGAAAAGATCAACAACTTCCTCGCCATGTGTGACTCTATCATTGCCTCAGCTAACCTCAGTCTCCATACAATGTCCTAGCCAGTCATTGAACTCATCTCAAGGACATGATACCCCACCTCATCTTGTCAGCATGATGTTCTTCACTAATGAAGAATCCACAGAGTTTCAGGTCAACTTACATCCCTCCTCCTACCTAATCAACAAAGAACTAGAGAGTAATGCCAATGAAGAAGACCAGCATGCCCTGGCGAGAGCTTACATGCAAGTAGAAGAATTGAAAAATAATATCAAGAAGAAGAAGGTCACTCATTTCAATGGTGTAGATATTCTGGCCCACCATCTGCAAAACCCCACAACAAGTCCAGCGCCCGCTAATGCATCAACTGCCCCCAGGACAGTTGTTAATTCTGCACCAACCAATTCCATCCCTTCTACAGAGATCCCAGCCATTACTAAAACTCTGGTCATCTCTAGTCCCACAGATCTCCAGAAATCCAAGCCTACAACAACTTCTGTATCCCAATTTTGTTATCAAAGCAGTTTTGACAAAGCAGTGGCTACCAAATGACTCATAGACCAAGTCTTAGATGGAAGATAGAAATTTCCACTAAAGATCTCTTAGCCATCAGCCCAGAGATTTGCAAGCAGGTTAGAGAGCTAGCTGTAATGAAGAAGATAACCATTGGGAGCTTAGAAATGGCATCAGAAGCTTCTGCCTCTGCTACCTGGGCATCCTATGAACAGTATTGGGTCAGAGACACAGAAGGGAAGTGTGTAGGCCTCACTACTGCACCATTATGCACTGTCGATGGCATCCTAATGGACAAACTTCACATTGAATGTATCCTGGACAGCAGATGTCAGGTAGTGGCCTTGTGACAGGAGTTGTGGGAAGCCTTAGGGGCCCCCCTCCATATTGACATGACTATGACTCTGGAGGCTGCTAACCAATCCAAAGAAAGCACCCTTGGGGTCATAGAGAATGCCACCTTGCACATAGGAAATGTTGAGGCACATCTACAAATCCAAGTCATTGACCACATGCCTTTCAACTTGCTGCTCAGTCGACCCTTCTTCTGCCTACTCTCCAGTGTCCTCCATGATTTCCCTGATGGAGAACAGTCTCTAGAAATCTGTGACCCTAATTCTGGGAAACAAGTTTTAATCCCAACACAACCTCACAACAGACTGCATCCCCTTCCATGTTTTGTAAATTCTGAAGACAAAGAAGACTTCTTCACATGAAAACAAATGCATCACCATATGAAACAGCCTGAGCAGGGTTTTTAGTGTTGGTCGATGACTCGTCTGGATCAGCAAGGAGGCCATGATAATCTTTTCTCTGTGTGTTCTCTCTATGTTTCTGACCCTCCTTTATTACCTTCAAAGACTACTACCCTTTTGCCTACAGACACTGTCAAAATTTCCACCATGGCATTTATCTACAATTTACGAAGCAACAGTACACTCCCTGTTGATCCCTTTGATGCTAGTTCCATCTCTCCGACTGACCCTTTCTTGTTTTTGACTGCTACTACCATTTCTCCACTGACAATCTCTGCCTTATGCTCTACTTATCAGCTTGATCCTGTTTATCATGTCTTAAAGTACAAACATGTAGTGAGGAAGGTGAGGCCAGTACCAGCATTGATGCCAGCAGAATTCCAGGTAGAGCATCAGGAGGCTGAAGACCCACTTGCGGATCTGCCTGTTTTACCTACTCATCCCCCACCATTCATGCCAGGTTCCAGGTTTACTCAGGAAAGAGCTGATGAGCTCAATCTGGACCTGGCAAGGTTCCTTTGGCCTACAGAATTAGACCTAGTATGATGGCTGGTCAAGACACACAAGGCCACCTTCGCTTGGGACACTTCAGAAAGAGGGACCTTTCAAGAGGACATGTTCCCACCCTTGAAGATACCTATGCTAGCCCACAAACCCTGGGTTGAGTGAAATATTCCCATTCCCCCTGCTATTTTCTGTGAAGTCTGTTATGCCTGCATCAGGGGTCCTTCCTTTTTCAATCCCTTGCAGTCACATGTGTCACATGCCTCATCACATCTCTCATAATCATCACCATCCTAGGGGTTCATATGCTGCAAGGCTCCCTCAGATCTCCCACTGTCAAGGTATTTCCAATACCTGTCAAGACCATGCCTCCTGCTTGATCTGGTATTCCACTGCCCTCTCTGATGGATGACTTGTTTACTTCTTGTTCCATTGACTCGTCTATGACTTGTTTATATTGCTCAGATGTTGTGCTATAGCTCCAGTGTCTGGCTCCTCACTGTACATTGATTGCACAGCCAGTATAGCCTTTGTTCCCCTGCCTACTCCCATCATATGACACTGTATGACTCCCTCTGACTTATTTATTTGACTGATTGTTCTGTTGATTACTGCAGATATGCATCGCAACACATCCTGTCACAACTCGTACAGTACTCATACTTAGGGGTATATAAACCCATGTACTTTACCTTGTATCCTCAGTTTTTCAATAGCTTACAACTCAGCTAACTTCCTTTGCTTTTGTCCTTGTTCCCTCCTCTGTGTGATCTCAGAAGAACTCACCAGAAGGAGTGAACCTCTGCCAGACCTCAGCAATAACTGAGCCATAGGGGTTATGACATGTTTGGCCCATAGACTCCCCCTTGCACACTTTGTGCCTATTCCATTTGAAGAAGTCACTGTGCTTGGGCATAACAAAACCGAAAAACTCTATGCAGCTTTCAGGACTCGTTGACCTCTTCATGAAAGTCTACTCGTCCCTGGTTACTGAACTTCAACAAACCAACTTGTTGTCAAACAAGACTCATTGGTCTCCCTCAGTGTAAAGACTAACTCGCCTTCATCCTGCTTCTTCATGTACCAAGATTGAGAAGCACCCCTCTACCCTCAATCAAATCCACCACTCTACAGGCAGCCATTAGGCTTTAATAGATCGCCTCCCTAGAGTTAGCACTTGTGTCTCCCTATGCATAAAGTCACTCATGCACCATCAAACCCCTCTACACTGACAGGTTTCTTTCAAGAAATAAATCCTCCCTCAGCCTTCATTGTCATATCTGTAAAAGTGTCTAACCTGCAGAAATTAAGACCACCAGTCCCTCCACACCCTAATCCCCTTGGACTTGGACAGAATCCTCCCTTACTGCCCACCCCTTTAGGATGACTCGGTCCTTCAGTTACTGCAACAAATCTCTGGTTATCTTATCTATCCCAGTTTAGGGATTCAGAAGTCACACTTAGTTCAGAAGAAGAAGATGATCAGAAGTCCAATACTTTGTTTGGATCAGTCCTCAAAGAAGAACAAGAAGCTTGCAATCAAGAAGAAATGTCCATGATGATCAGTCATGGAGATTCAGTTCCTGAAATGCCCCCAAGGACCATTTCAGAAGAGGAACTGAGACAGAGGCTGGAAGAACAAAGAGTCGCTATGGTGGAGGAGCTCCACTGGGCTATGCATGCAACTTCAAGCAACCCATTCCCAACAGGTATGCCTACTGACTCAGCTTTGTGAGAATGGTATTGTAGGAACTTTGGAAAGGCCGTACCCCCAGAGCTGTCTGCTGGTGATAGCAGGAAGGGGAAAGCTAGAGCCAATGATGATGATTACTATGGCTTGAGCCACCTGCCCAACAGATGCCAGGAGTTTAATGTTGGGCATCCCAGAGAATATGATGGAAGCCACAATGGGCTTCAGACCTGGATTACACAGGTTGAAGGTTACTTGAACCTAAACAAGCACGTTTACAATTTGGAGTCTCTCAAGATTTCGTTCACACTCACATACATGACCAAGGGTGCTGCCATGTCATTCATCAAGAATTACCAAAATGAAAACAAGATGCTCAATGGTACAGTCTACTACACCAACACCTTTCAAAGGTTTGTTGAAAGGCTAAAGGCAACCTTCGAGTCAGGTGACCAGACCACCCTCGCTATCTTGCATCTCTTGGACATCCAACAAGGCAAACAAGAACTTGAGGCTTACATTGCCAAATTTACAGGGCTTGTTAACAAGGCTCAACTCAAGGAAGAATCACATGAAGCAGGGATCTTCTTCAGGAAAGGCTTAAATAAAGAATACCATGACTGGGTTCTTAATTCTGGACACACCCCTTCCATGGTCATAGAGTGGATACAGTGTGTGGGAGAAGCCCAAACCACAATTGCTATGAAGCACCCCCATCCATCCCTTGCAAATTTGGATCATGTTCAGTGGCTCATCAATGCACATCACCTGAAGAAGTACCCACATGGGACAAGTATTGATGGTAAGGAGTCTAAATTTATTTTTAAAACTAATTCTGACCATCCTAGGTGCATTACACCTCTTCCAACAGCCATCTGATGACCCACCATACCTCCGTTGTGTCGAGGTACACCCACTACCAGGTTCCGAAGTGTTCCATCTCATTATTTGCATGTCTCCTTTTATGGCATCACAACTGATGCATGTGAGACATCTCTTGATTGACACATCATTCAAATGTGTCCATGGGTGGCAGGAGTTCAAGATAGAAGCCTGGGATAATGAACAGATGTGGTGTAGGTACTTTCCTGCTGAGTCTGTGTTGAGTTACTGATGTCCTGTAGCCATTGCTGTCACACATGCATTCACAATGTTGCAATCTGCTGAGGCCCATTTCATTCTCTTTCAACATATCTTCTCAATTGCATCAGCAGACACTGGAATGCTGGTTGCATTCCACCACATAGATGGATATGGGTTTCATTCATTTGTTGCAGATGGACACAAAGGACAAGCACTTGGTAAGACCACATCATGTCTCTTTAAACACTGCTCAAGGAATCAACAGGACTTGGAATGTATTGTGTTTCCTTGTGCTACAATGACCACCATCAAGATAGATATGAGCCACACTGTTGGCTTTCTGACCTCAATCCCTATGATCATCTTACACAGTCCTATTGGTTCTGTGTAACACATGTCAAGTATCATATTTTTCTGCTGAGAACTTACATAACTAGTGAAGTATATGCTGCTATGCTCAGCCTCTTGTCATCAGAGGAGCAACCAGATCTTGACCGCACACTTGCAATAATCAGAACAGGTGGAAAGAAGGCAAATGGTGCATTTACTATTGTCATACAGCCCTCAAACACTAACTGTACTCAAGCATGGCTGAAGAATAAACTGGAGAGCAATAGATTTGGATTGAAGGAAATATATAGGCCAGTGAGTCTTATTCCAGAGGAGATTTGGAAAGCATCTCCAATGACAACAAATGGCAATGAGCAAGCACATCGCAATGTCAACTGTGATGGCACAAATCTCACCTTGCTTGGAGGAATAATGTGAGGAAAGGCATACAACAACTGTGCTGCAGCAAGCATACATACTCATCAATACAACAGGGTATATACAAGAGATCAAAGTGCCACTCACACATGACATGCCTCAAGGTCAATTGCATGACTGGGTAAAGTTCCAGTCTACTTCACCACCAAGATTCAACTAATTGAACATTTTAGCATACACACAACATAAGCAAGCAGGAAGCCATCCAACACAAAGTCTACCCACCAATGTCATAAACATTCCAACCACTGCATCTGTCCCAAACATGATACCTGTGAACAGTAACAATCAACACAAGCAAAATAAACCACAGACATATCAGATATCTACTTACAGTACACTTGCCAATGCACTAACTGCAGGCATTACAATCACTGACTATAGACCACCAGCTACAACATACAACACTTACCCAAGGGTACAAGCCAGCCATCCAGTGATCTCAACCTACAGCTCACTTGAGGGTGCACTTGGATAGTACTACAAGCAATTACAATTATAATTTCTGTAAGGGAGAATGGACAGCATTGACTTACAACAGTGAACACCCATGAAGGATGGTTGGCAAGGGCTTGACAGTCATATCATAGGGAAAAGCAACAGAAACAAGAATATCAATAATGGGAAAGATCAACAGACAAAGAGGCAGCTGGATGAGCACAAAGCCAAGGAGAAAAGGAATGGGAGGATGACAATGACATCAGTGACAACAAGTGGGGGGAATGAAAGCAAAGCAGAGGAAAGAACTTTATGAGGTCACCATTATATAGAGAATGACATGTTCCTCCCATGTGATTCACCTTACCTGAAAAGGGTATGTGTTCCTGGCAGAAGCAGTCCCAGGGGTCCACACAGTGTGATGTCTGCAAGGCTGCTCAGAGCTTTTCTCTCACACAAAATGGGGAACTGAAAAAGTTCAGAGTGCTAACAAGCAACTACAAGCTCATCATTACTGGATGCCTGCTGTCACACACCAAAGGTGTTTGGTGAGGTGGACATGGATACAGCTGATGAATGGAGATGAAGACTGTAGCCCTCATGCAAAGAAGGACAGCCAGAAATGTCAGCAGTCATCCCTCACACAAGAACAAGTCATCAGTGCCAAAGAAAAAGAAAGGGAGCAAGTTAAGTGCTGGTTAAAATTCTTAAGCACCTGTGTATGGCATTCCAGTTTTCAACATATCTCTGCTGTTTCTGCAGATACTGAGACCATTCCCACACTTGCTTGTAGTGCTCAGCCATGCAATCTTACCTTCCAAAATTGGAAAGGATTTGTGCACTCCACACATTTCTACAGCACTCCCTCCAAAAGACACTCATTTTGCTAATTCTTCTGATATGGCCACCTCCACATCAGTCATTTTGCTTGTCCCCTTTGCTAGGGACCATGGCTACATATATCTACCAGGAGTTCCTACCAGCTTCTGTCCTGAAGCATCCTGGTACATCCCACCCTTGTCTGTGCCCTCTCAGCCCATCCAGCTTGGACAGCATGTTCTTTTTGTCAGTATGACCTCTAGGAGGACATTCTTTGGTCACCTCAGGTCTGTCATTCACTTGGAAAGGTCTTATGTGGTTGTTTCAGTCTCCCCAGTCCAAGAAGCATATGGATCCTTCCTCTCTGCTCCCTGCAATGTCTTTGTACCAGTCTCATCTGTCATTCTTCCAAGATTGTGACAGCTACAGTATAATCTACTGTTCTCCACTCTCCCTGATCACATCCATGATGATTATGATGCACATCTTGCCTCCTTGTTGCAAGATACAGCAGCAGACACTCTGCCTTCATCCTCTCTTCCAACAGAGCCTCATTCATGAAGTTTTTATTTGCTTCACTGAGAGGATGGTTTGGGGGGGAAAGTTGCAATTATTAAGGGTCTAGTTATTGTCTACTTTGCTTATTATCATCTATCATCAATCTACTTTGCTCCAAGTCCTCCCTGAGCTCAGTGCAGCTCAGAGCATCAAATTAAGTCATCATCCATCCTTCTGTAGGCTGACAGCAGTCTACCCTATTGCATTCTCTTGCATTCCTGCTCCTTCTTTGTCAGGAGCACCCCCAACCCTCAGCACTCATCTTTGAGTGTTATAGCTCACAAACCCTCCCAAAGAACAGGTTCTACCATCTAGGTACCACATAGGCACACCACCACTCACTCTTTTTGTCTTTTGTGTTGGTTTTGGTTGGTTTTCACCACTGAACCACACTTTGACTCACATTGGTTGGTGATAGCCCAGCATTCCCAAGAATTGCATGGGCATGGCTTAAGGCATACCTCTGTGAGGCAGAGAGGTCCATCTGTAGTCACTGGTAGGTGGGGTGACTGACATCATGATGGACATTGCTTTATACTACTGATCCCCACACTAGACATTGAGACCTAGAACTGACATCCACAAGGATTTGGCACCTTCCAAATATGGATAGGACACCATTGTTTGTTCATCTGCACTCTGCAAGGACCTGTCATCATCATTGCTGCAATACATTTGATTGTGCTCAACAGGCCAAGACATAGCACTGATGCCAGTGATCATACCATTTGACAAACAAGTGTATTTCCAGGACAACCTGGGCAATGTCAGATGCAATGGTGATCTCAATTTGGTGTGTGTGCAGCATTCAATCACATAGGCTGATATTGTCTGTACAGAATATGCTGTGTATGTCAGGCCACCTGTGGTGCAGTCATTCAACTGTAGTGGCATTAGGTTGGTGTCCTTTTGCAATCCAGACCATTCTCCTCTGTCTTTTACATTCAATTGTTCTGCAACTTTGTGGCAACATTTTCCCCTATGCTGTGATTCTATGACAAGAATTCTCTCTGCCCTGTCATAGACTCTCTTGGATGTAGCAACCAATACATTTCTTACTGCTTCTTCTCACATAATTCTGCAATATGTGTAACAGATAGCTCAATGACTGGAGTGTTTGATAACAGCATATAAAGGCAAAGTCCTCCCACTGGTCAGCCCCAATTTCCCTCTCAGACTCACTTCTCCTTGATACTATGCCTCTCTGTCACCCAGTCTTTGCTATCTGCCAGGCACAACAATGCAGTAGCACAGAACTTGTTATATATTCCTGCAATGTTCAACAGATTGTTGAAATTGCATTGTAAGTTTTTTGTTTCTCATTCCAATTTCAGGCTCACATGCACATTGTACAGTCCCATATGTTGTGGAAGGCATATTGTCCCTAGTTGCATCCTGCAATATCTTAAACAGTGTGGTGCATTCTGGGAGTGCTTCTGTGGTATCCTTTCCAATGAACCTTGGCCAGTGCACTTCATCAACTTTGCTGTCAGCAGTACAAATACAGTTTGCATGGAAGTTCTTTGTCATTCTCATGTCAGTTTGTGTGGATTCCAGTGTAAGTTGTTGCCCTGCATCATTTGCTTTGCAAACTATTCACATTTTGTCTTCACAGTGAATCTCAATGAGACACACCATACAGCCATGCTGCTTTCATCTTATGATGGAATTCCACCACTTGCTAGTGGGTTCTCTTGTTCTCCTGTCCTCCCACACCACTCAATTTCTTGTAGCCCCAGGCCAAAATACTGTACCAGATGTCAACTATCTCTTCAGAACTTTCGAGCACAGTCAGCCCATGTTCTGATGGGACATGCTGAAATAGCACCATATTTCCCAGAATACCTAGGCTCACTTACCTCTGTGTACAATGGATACAGACTCATTGGGCCAGAGGTATCCTTCACTTTGCCACAACATCAGACAAATACCAGCCATTGCACACATTCCAGTGAGTTGCACACAGTAAAAGCAATTCACATTGAGCTAACCAACAACATCTTCAAAGGTATTACCCCACACACAAAAGATATACTACTTGGTAATAACAGTCTTAGACAATGCACACCAGCATCAACCTCCAATACCACTAGACATGACACCACAGAGGTAGCAGACCATGAATGTGAACTGCTTCTCACACTCATGTCTGGGATGGGAATTAGCAGATATGATAGAATAGGTCTGCTAGAAAAATGTGATCATTGTGGGGTTATATTCACAGCTAGCAGACTGCATGCTCACATTCATAGTGAGGTATGCCAAGGGGTAGCAAAGTGAAAGGATAAGAGTACCCACCTTCACACAAACATAGAGGTGACCCAAGTTCTGTATGCAATGAAACAACAGCAGTAGACATTAATAAGCTACAGTAAATACTTGATCGGTGGTAGTAATGTGATAGTAATATACTTACACTAGATCAATGATGAGACATGTGTCATCAAGCTCAAACTGCGAGGTGAAGATACAACGATCAGCACACTTACATGACAAGGATGATGGGGGACAGGGAAGAAGAGAGGACAACAACAATGGCAAAGAAAGGACATTGAAAATGATGGGGAGATTGATGATGAGGGAATTGGGAAAGAGCAGGAAGAAATGAAGACTGATCTTATATATGCTGCACATGTCTGATTTTTTTCATTGCTTAATTGGAGTCCTTGGGGGCTGCATGACTTGCGACTGGTAGTCAGGGCTTTTTCTACTTGGACCTTTTCATCAGCACAAAGTGGGGAACCAAAAAAGTTCAGAGTGATAACAAGTGACTCATCACTCAGTAATGATCCCAAAGTCAAATGTAAAAATTGGGTGACTCCCACACTGTCAGAACTTACCAGAATCTGATGAGAAAGGAATCTTTAAACAGGCATAGATGATCCCTGGTGCTCTGCAGGCTGCAGCAAAGCATTGCTTCAGAATGAGACAGAAGATTTTAGGGATGCCACTGTAACAATTCAGCTTCAATTGGAAAGGGTTGCTACTGACTGACCTGCCACCTTTGGTGAGAGTTGGTCCATGCACTGGCAGATGTTTTATCTCTGATAACAATGGGTTGGGTCACAACTGCCACTTCTTCACTATCCCAAGATTTCATAGAAAACTTCCTTGACAACTCCTAGTGGATGCTACCATGAATCTTAATGGAAGAATGAAATGATAAAGGCCTACCAAGTGGTTAGAAACAATCGATGAAATAACTTTAAATGTATCAGAGGCAAGGAACAAATACTTACAGTGGCAGCTTGATTGTTCTGATGGCATTGATGATGAGGGCTCAGATGGTAGTGTTGAGTTGATCACAATTACCCCCCCCCCCCCCACTCCAATAACCCCACCACCCTCTGATCTGGAATCAGAATTGAATGATGACTTCATTATGCTGCTGGAGTGGAAAGAGTTGAAATATTGCTGGTTTCTTGATGCAATCCACCCACTCTGCAACAAGGTGGAAAGGACCTGAGTGTTAAACTGTGTGGCTATTCTGTGTCCATGTGTGTCACAGCTCCACCTTTTGGCACACTATGTGGAGTTTCATCCACACTTATTCTGCCAAAAGCTGCATGTCAACCCTGAAATCTTTGACTGCATCCTTGATCAGATTAGTGATCATCTGATCTTCCAGTCACAATCAAACAACTCACAACTTTTGGTGGCAATCCAGCTGGCTATCTTCTTGAATTGCATTGGCCACTATGGAAATGGCTGCATGTGAGAGGATATCTGTGAATGGGTGGGGGTTGGTGTAGGCTCAGTGATAAATTGCACAAACTGCATCATGGTAGCCATCCTGGACTAATGTGACAAATTCATTTTCATTCCAGCAGGAGACTCTGAGGATATGGAAAGATTGCATCAATGGGTGGGGGAATGTTCTTGTAAAGGGTGGTGAAATGGTCATGGTGGCTGATGGGTCATGGATTGAGTGGTGGATCTACTTGTGGTGGAACCAAGGGCAAGAACCTGGCTTCATCCAGCCAGTGGGCTGTCACCACTACTGGTGATGCATCTACTACAGAAGGTCTTCAGCCAAAGAACATCAACTGGGATGTTCCTCATACTGATATACTTGTTAACTGGTTGCTCATCCATCCTGCAAACCAAAGAATCCTTTTTAGTGATGAGATCACAACCATCTCACCACCTTCACCTGATGAGGGGCCAGTGGGCCATAACAAGAAAGAAGTTCAAGCAATTATTGCCAAAGTCATATTCAAGAATGATCTCTACTACAAGGACATGTACATGGTGGGCCCTGCAAAGTTCCAAGTTAGCATAGGCAACCACATCACTATGTCAGTCTCCTCTTCATATTTTATCTATGATTGTTTAATGATCATTTAGGCTGAAGGGATTGTATCACAAGTGCCATGCACACTTTAAACAATCAGGGGAAGGCATTATGCCTGGTCACATAAGCTATGCAAAACTCCATTGTAAGTTATCAATCAATCCAGTGGGGTTACTGTTGGAATTGACTCTGGTTCTAGACTGTGTCATGTGACTGATCATGAGATGTATTACATGTTAGCTCCACAATGATGTCATACTATCATCATAGATGACATCACATTCTATGAGCTTCCATGCAGTTCTTTACTATACTTAGTAGGTACTTTCCTTATACATTACCTGGTCCATGCATATAGTACCTGTATATAAACTTGGGGGTTTCTCCCCAGTCCACATCAAACAATCCACTGTTCTATCTTCTACACACCAAGCCTCAAGCTTACCACTACAAACACCCTATCTGAATATTAAAAGGCAAATGTTCTGCCATTGCTCTATTCCTCTCCCATTCCTCTGCACAATAGGTTATGAGCCCCAATGTCTAACATCAGTGTGCTATTGTCATGTTTTGCATTGACTGATCACTGTCAATGGACACATCAGCATGGAATGTGATGGCCTAGACATACTAGAATGGGGTGTTATCTCCATTATGTTGTCACTTCTTGTGGGTTGCTATCAGAGTATTCTACTCATCTATTATGGAGGTTTTGGACAGGAAGAGTTTCACAGGTTGTATTATGTGTCAGCTGCTTTCTGGCTAGCAGTGCTTTGTTTGCTGACTTGGCTACATTTATATCAAGAAGTAGTCAATCGCCAACACCATCGAGCTCTACTCATTGCAGCCTACATGTTTGGAGAACAACCTCCACTGAGATATGTAGTCCCTCCACTGCCTCATTACTTACACTTCTTCATTCCCAATCGAGATGATCAAGCAGACCTAGATCCCATACCAGAGTACACTGTTGTAGGAGCAGTAGATCCACCTCCTCAATGTGTCCTGACTCCTCTTCCAGAGGAGGTACAAGCGATGAATGATGCTCTTGCTGAGCCAATTCTTGATGCTGAGAACAATCTCATGATCTTTGATGATCTTGCCAAGTTTGAATTACTTTAATTGTTTGTCACAGTCAGTCAAAGTTATGGGAACTAATCTGTTGTCTAAAAAGATGTCTCTTGTCATTGCCAAATGCACTGAAATCAAAATTGCTGCAGATTGGGATGAGATGTATGAGGGCACAAAGTGGAGAAAATATGTGGTTAAAGAAGTAATAGAGTTCATTGAAGCACTATATGTCTGTGATTGCACATTGTGGCACTACACTGTCCCTTCATTGGTTTCCTTCTTGAAGAAACCAAACCCCATGCTCTACCTGGTTCCTTTGTCAACAGTTGAAAATGCATGGGTTACTATGCCTACTTTCCCCACATTCAACTCCCCACTTGCTTACCCTGGCATTCATGTTGCCTATCATGGTTATCTAGTTGACTTCACTCCAAAACTTACTCATCTTTCATCTCCACATGCCATTGCTAACTATAATGGTTGTGACCTGCCTAGTGTTACATATGAAGACCCTGCCTTGTTTTCAGTCCTGGCATTTGGTGTCACTCATGACACATTTGTCTATGTTTACTATAATGTCCATCCACTCTACCTCACTGGAAACCCTTTCCATGAGCTTGTCCTGTCTTTACAAGTTTGGAACAAGTATCTGGAGCACCATTTCTGAGGAATCTGGACTGACAGGTCTACTGATATCTGGACCATACCTAGGTGGTTCAGAGAACAAAGAAGAAGTGGAGATGAATTTGACTACTACTTATTGGAGTTCCTATGGGATTTTGAGTGAGAAGCCAATATGGGTTGCGAGTGCAGATATACAGAGTCTAATCAACACCTTTACTATGTTGGCAGAACCAGTAGGACTCAATTCACTACTGGCCCTCTTCAGAGGACCTTAATAGGGACTATGAGCATATCATGGCACAGGATACTGGGAATACTTATGTGGAGCCAAGACACCACAGAATTTATTCCACTACTCTTGCAAGGGCTTGCACAGCTGCTGCCACTCACACATGGCTATCCTCTTCCTGGTATCATGGACATACTGTATGCATCTGGAGGCCAGTACCACAAGGATATTAGGGACTGTGTATTGGAGGAGTCTTATAATCTTTTTGAACTATTATCTTACTCCAATTGTCCTGGTTTTCAACTGTATGAAAAATTTCCCTTTCCATATTCTTGCAATTCCATGTATCTGGGATTTCATGTCCCAGAACCTTTACATGATGTCAATTGGAGATTCTTCAGGTATCACTACTTTGAAGATCCTCATTTTGATTCATTGGAATGCAATAACTCTCACATCCCACTTTGGCAATTTGCAGAGAGGGGGACAACTATATGGAAACTACATCAAAATCCTCATGGACCTACTCCAAAACACACTCAAACAAAAAGACCTTCCCAAAAAGCTAGAGCTTCTGCTTGCTGAAAGCAATCCAAACCTCATTCATTAAATTCCACATCCATGGACCCTTATCAATCATTCTTATATGATCATCTAATCGTGAACCTCTACTAGATATCTGAAGGCCTTGGAAAGCAAATCCCCAAACTTTCTGGTCTCAATTATGCCTCTTGGTCAGTTCTTATGAAAGCATATTTTCAAACTCTTGGTTTCTGGGCTATTGTTGAAGGCACCAAAGCATGTCCTGGCATTGGAGTTGCCAGAGATGCTGCCTGGGTTGTCTCTGATAACAGGGCTCAAGGTGTCATAACCTTGTACTGTGATCCCATGATCACAACTTCAGTTGATGGACATGCTACATCCACTCTCAAATGGGCAGACCTCAAAACTAAATATGGTGAACCATCTGCCATGACCACTTTCATGGAGTTCCAGCGACTCATTCATATACAAATCAAGCCAAAGGATGACATTATGGCTAAAATCACTGAAACTTCTATGATCATGTCTGCCATTTTAGGGCAAGGCATTGCCCTTAACGATAAAATCAAAGTGCTTATACTTGTCCATTCAATGTTCCAAGCATGGGACCAAGCCCCAGTAAACATATTATCATCTATAGCTGTGGATCAGCTCTCTCCAGATACTGTGATTCCACAGATGAAGGAGATCTGGAGCCACAAATCTGGTCACACAATGAACAAACTGCCCTTGTGCAGTATTTGCAGGGGCTCACATAATACTCAAGATCACATCATTGGCTATAACAATTGTGGTGGAAGTTCAAGTCAAGGAGGTCAAGGACATGGTCACAGTGGCAACAGAGGATGTGGAGGCTTTACTCCTTACCCTCAGAATCAG